GTTTGAGGCCAACCTGGGCTACATAAGACCTTTGTCTCAATAAAGTAAATAGTCAACATTTTCAAGAGAAAGTTCTTCCTGAATTATAGAGCAACAGGAAGTGAAGGGATGTAGCAGGCCCGAGCGTGGCAAACATGGTGCTGGTAGGTTTTGCCTTTGACCCTTCCCTCTCTCTTGTAAACCATGACTACATGACTACAGCTAGCCACCAAGGTCCATTCCCTTATTGGGACACTTTATTATGCCAGACTCATTCTCAAGGCTTGCCACCAAAGTCCAACTATCAATTCCAGCAATCAAAAGCCCTTTTTGGGCCTGAGGTACGGGTGTGTGTGTGTGTGTGTGTGTGTGTGTGTGTGTGTGATGGTGCATGCCTTTATTCCCAGTACTCAGTTGGATTTCTGTGAGTTGGAAGCCAGCCTGGACTACAGAGAGAGAGAGAGAGAGAGAGTCCCAGAACAGCCAAGGCTACTCAGAGATATACCCTGTCTCGAAAAGCCAAAACAACAAACAAACAAAAAGCCTCTTTTGGCTACTTTAGTTAACACACCCAATCAAAACATACCACAGCATCCTAGTCCATTCTAACACAAACCTTCCCTTTTTGTCTCTTAAAAATGACACCTGCAAGGTCATTTGCTGCTCTTTTCTGCCTGAATCAGAATTCAGCCACTCTTCTTCCCTGCTTAATAAAATAGGTGTGTGTGTGTGGGGGGGTGCGGATTGGAGAGATGGCTCAGTGGTTAAGAACACCCATTGCTCTTGCAGAAGATCTGGGTTCATTTCCAGCACCCACATGCAGCTTACAACTGTCTGTAACTCCAAAATTTGACACCCTCACACAGACATACAAGCAGGCAGAACACCAATGTGTGGTCTGTGGCTAATCCTGGGTCTGGGAAGGAGCATCCCGTTGTGTGCAGATCCCTTCAGGAAGTGCTCAGTAACTGGCTCCCTTAAAACCTGATAACATTTAGCATACTTTACAATAACAAATAGTATCCTGCATCAAGAAAGACTTATTTTCAGCTTACAGGACTATGCTACAGGCATGGATAATACCTTCCAGATTTTCTTTTTTTCAGTGCACTGATCTTACAAGTTGTATTAGCAAGTTAGACTATCTCAGGTGAGTCATCCAGAAGTCAAATGGAACATTTACAATGTCTCTGAGTTCAGTATCTATAGTAGTCCTTAAGAAGATTACAGAATTCAAAATTCCCATTAAGGTCTGTGATCTTTTAAAAGGTGATGGGAAAAGACAATTACATATTTTAGGAACCATTAAGTTTGAAGGTCTTTGGAATAGAAAGAAAGATTTGGGTAACACGTAGAGCCTGACACTATTCACAGCATTGACCCAGAGCTGCGGGTCTCATCTTTCCTGATGCTGCCATCCTTTAATACAGTTCCTCATGTGGTGACTCCCAACCATAAAGTTATTTTTGATGCTACTTCATAGCTGTAATTTTGCTGTTGTTACGAGTTGTGACCAAATACCTGATATACAGGGTGTCTAATGTTCAACTTCTGTGAGGGTCTGGACCCCAGGTTGAGAACTACTTATGTAGACCATAGTGTGTTGGCTTAGCAAAAATCCCTAGCTCCTAAATTTGAGCTAACTGGAAGGGCAATTGTGTTCTTTGAACAGCAGTTATATTCTTCGGAAGATGAAGGTCTTGTAATTCTGGGAAGATTTAGAATTAAGTCCATCTTAAGAGCTGTGCTGTAGAAGGCTGTCTCCTTTAAAATTCAAACTGAAAGTTAATTCTCAGGGGAGGAATAGTAAGAGGAGCTTTTAGGGGATTATCAGGCCAGGGGCTGTGCCCTCATGGATGGGGTTAGCATCCTAATAAAGGGATTTGGAGAAGTGAGTCTGGCCCCTCTTCATCCTTTCTATCCATTTTATGAATGAAGTAATAAGGTACCATCCTGGAGCAGAAGGCAGCCTTCACCTGTCAGGATACCACCACACACTAATCTTGGATCTACAACTGTGAAAAATACGTATCTGTTCTTGTTTTGTTCGTTGAACATAGGGTTTGTCTCTGTAGCTCTGGCTGCCCTGGAACTTGCTCTGTAGACCAGGTTGACCTCAAACTCAGAGATCTACCTGCCTCTGCTGGAATTAAAGGAGTGTAAGACCACCACCCAGCAATATTTCTTCTTTACGTGTTATCCAATCTCAGATAACTGGTTTTAGTAGCACATATAGGCTATAGAATCTAAGACAGGAGATCTTTAGAACTACATATAAGAACATTTGTTGGGCATGGGGGTGCACACCTTTGATCCCAGCACTTAAGAAGCAGAGACAGGCAGATCTCTGTGAGTTCACGACCAGTCTGGTCTACAAACTGAGTCTTAAGACAGCTAGGGCTACGCAGAGCAATCCTGCTTTGAAAAAAAAACAAAAAACAAAAACCACATTTAAGAAGGTCTGGAGATGGCCCAGTGGTTAAGAGCTCTGGCTGTGGTTAAGAACACTGCTTCTCCCGAGGACCTGGACCAGCACCAACATGGAGGCTCATAACCACCTATAACTTAACTCCCATCCAAGGTGATCCAACACCATTGCCTAGCTCCAGGCATGCACTTCGTACACAGGCACACTTACAGGCAAAACACTCATTTAATACTTAAAAAAAAAAAAAAAAAAGACTGAAATTATAGCTGAAAAGGCCTCAGTTAGACGGATGACACTTAATTTAAGCAATGTCCAAAGTAGAGAGAGTCATTTGTATCTGAAAGAAGCGTACTCCAGGCAAAGGGAGCAGCAGGTGCAAAGGCCTGGGAGGAACAAGAATGGAGCATGGAGAGCGGGTGAGGGGAGCACGCTGCTGTGTAGCTGTGTAGTATGCCTGTAACACCGGCGAATTGGGCGGCTGAGGCAGGAGCAAGCAAGTCCAAGGCAGCCCTAGGCCACTCAGAAAACCATCATCTCAAAATAAATTTAATGTAAAAAAATGTGGCTGGGTATTACCTTCATCCCAGCAGCTGGGAGGCAGAGGCAGGCAGATTCTGAGTTCGAGGCCAGTCTGGTTTACAGAGAGAATGCAAGAAGAGGCTCCAACTACAGAGAAATCCTATCTCCAAAAACAAAAACAAAAAAACAGGAAAAAAAAAATGTGGCTGGATGGTGGTGGTCCACGCTTTTAGTCCCAGCACTCGGGAGGCAGAGGCAGGTAGATCTCTGAGTTTGAGGCCAGCCTGGTCTACAGAGTGAGGAGTTCCAGGACAGCCAGGGATACACAGAGAAACCCTGTCTGGGAAAAAAAAAAAAAGTAAGGGGTCTAGGAATATATCCCAACAATAAAATATTTACCTAGCATGTGTAAGACCCTGGGTTCAATCCAGTAGCGCGTGCATACACACACGCACACACACGTACACACACTCTCACATGGTGAGCTAAGTTCCTATAAAGCCTCGGAGATTTATAGGTCTTTTGAGCCTTTGGCTTTTTTGGTAAGATGTGGGGGTGCCATTTAATGCTTGGAGAGGGTTGGGCACATGGTTCATTAGTAGAGTGCCTATGTAACATGTATGAAGCCCTGGGTTCAGTTTGAGCACAGATACATGCCTGTAATCCCAGCACTTGACAGGTGGCTGTAGGAGAAAACAGGAGTCCAAGGTCATCATAAACTACATAGATTGTCTTCAAAAAAAAAAAAAAATAAAACAAAATACATAAAAACAGGGAGAATTTTAAAAACCTTATATTAACTTTTTGAATATTAAAGAATGTCATTATGCCATTAAAAGATTTAAGACAGACTGAAATTCAACTAGTTCATTCCAACACTCCCAAGGTGGAGATAGGAAAATCAAAATTTCAAGGCTAGCCTGAAGCCAGCTTAAAACAAAATAAAATAGGTAAATAGAAGTAAGATTTGCCAGACAGTGGTGGCACATGCTTTTAATTCCAGCACTTGGGAGGCAGAGGCAAGGCGACCTCTGTGAGTCTGAGACCAGCCTAGTCTACAAGAGCTAGTTCCAGGACAGCCTCCAAAGCGACAGAGAAACCCTGTTTGGGGGGGGGGGGGTTAGGTGATAAAGATCGTGAAAGGTTTTGGTTTTTGGAGACTGCTCCTGGAGGCTTCAAGAACAGGAGGGCTTGGGAAGTTGTCACCACTCCCTGCCTAAGGGTGGAACAACTGCCCGCTTAGAGTCTTTCCTTTGCCAGGGAGAATAAACGGCCTGAACAGGTAGTTGTCTTAAAAGAAATTAAGTGAATTATTTCATGAAAGTAAAACTACTCCATTTACTAAAGTCCTGCAAACATAAAGATTTCTAGGTGTGAGCGGTTGGGTGTCCACTAGGTGTTAATCCTATTCCAAACACGTCTCGGAAAGACGTGGAATACTGCTAACTGCACGGTCAAGGGCGAGTAAGCGCGCTAGAGCGCGAAGGGACCAAAGCACACAGTGTCGCCAGGTGGGAGATGCCAGTGACAGTCTCCCGGGAGCCAGCTGGGGCTCCATACTTCTGCCCTCGGTTCTAAGTCCGGAACCGTCGCGTCGAGATTAAAAGCTAAAGGGTGGAGAGAACGCCCGGCTACAGCGCCCCGCGCCCCTCCCCCGCCACGGCGCCCGACGGCTGCAGACACGCCCGACTCTGTGGCGCCGCCTCCCTCCCGCTGCCACCAGGAGGCTCCGGCGCCTTCCCGCCTTTCCCGGGGCCCGGTCCGGCCCGGCCCAGCCGGGGCGGGCGGCGGGGAGGGCGCGGGCGGTGACGGGGTAGCCATTGTCCCGCAGCCGCGCCCGGGGCCGCCGCCGCCCGTGCCTCCTTTGTGGCCGTCTCCGGCCCTCGGAACCGCCGTTTTGCGCCCCGGCTGCAAATGGCGCCCGGCCGCCCCTGCGCCGCCCCGCGCACGGGCCACGGTTGCATCACCGGGGCGACCCCGGCGGCCTCGCCGCCCTCCGCCAGGCTCTCGGCCGCCTCCGCAGCCCCGACGCCCCGGCCGCCCTCTGCCCGCCCGCGCCCTCGCAGCCACTTACCGCGGGGCTCTGGCCGCTCGTGCGCGCTGCGGAGTAATTCTCGGTTCCCGGTGGGGGAAGCACCCCCTTCCGAAGCCGAGGCTGTGCGCCCTAAAACAAGTAGCCCCAACGCGGGAGAAACAAAAGGTATTTGCTGACGTGGGCGTTGGGCAGAAACGCCCGAGGGCTGAGGACACAATTAAAGGGGCAACGCACAGATTTCAGGCACCAACCAGCAGCTTCGCCCACTCCCCCTGTCCGTGCCCACACCCGGCTGCACCCTCCGCAGGCGCTGGGGCGCCCAGATTCCCCAGCACTTGACTGAGGATCATTCTTTTAGTCGCGAGCTTAAATTTTAAAATTGTACTTTACGTTGGGAAAGGCGCCTCCGGAGGGCAGAAGGGCTGGATTTCTAAGATGTGGGATATTGGTTTAAGGAGAGAGGGAGGGACTTAGGCGTGCCCACAATTACTATATAAGTACATATGACATTATTGTACTTAAGTTTAGCAACGTCAAATGGAAGAAATTTACACAAAATTCCCCTCTTTATTGAAGCACTTATTCTACTCAGGGATAGCCCTTTAGAAACCTTCAGACCATTTGGAAAGGCAAGTACAGAGAAGCCGAGATAGCCGAGAACATAATTCTTGATATAAAACTAATAAAAACAAAAGGATTTGTGTTTTCAAATACAAAAATTGATCAAGCTTTTATCCTGACCTAATATTTAGATCGCAAACATCAGGTAAAATAGTAAATTGCTGAATTTTCACACTGCACAAGTATAAATTCTATAAGCTAAATTAATTTTATATTTCCTCACACTGCCAATTATTGTGAAACTGTATCATGATAAAATGGGGGAGACTCAAAACTTCAAAGCATACGTTTAATTTTTTTTTTTTGAAGGGTTCCTCTCCCAAGTCTTAATTGGGCCTATTAGGGTCCTGTTTCTATGGTTTCCTCACCAATTAGCTAGAACAGTACATTTGGTCTTCCCAGAATGTCATACCTGTTTACTCCAGAGCTGCTTTGTGATTTAGATGTGTTTCCTTACTTTTGAAGCTTGTTTGACAGTTATTAGCACACCTACAATCCCAGCACTCCAGGAGGCAGAGGCAGAGGCAGGCAGATCTCTTGAGTTAAAAGCCAACCCAGGAACATGGGAATCAGTCTATCACAGGACCGGACAATCCCACTCTTAGGCATATACCCAAATGATCCACATCATGCAAAAAAGACATCTGTTTAACTATGTTCATAGCAGCATTATTTGTAATAGCAAGAACCTAGAAGCAACCTAGATGCCCCTCAACTGAAGAATGGATAAAGAAAATGTGGCACATTTACACAATGGAATACTACTCTGTGGGGAAAAAAAAATGGAATCTTGAAATTTGCAGGCAAATGGATGGAACTTGAAGAAACCATCCTGAATGAGGTAACAAAAAGAGGAACATGGTATGTACTCACTCATGTATGGATTTTAGTCATAGACAAAGGGTTACCAGCCTATAATTCACACTGCCAGAGAAACTAGGATACAAGAAGGATTCTAAGAGATTCATACAAGGTTCCTCACAGAAGGGGAAAGGAACAGGATCTCCTGAGCATATTGGGAGTGTATGTGTGTGTGTATGGGGGGCAGTGAGTGGAGAGGGAGCTAAGAGAAAGAGAAGGGGAGGAGAGGAAAGCATGCAGGACTAGGAAGATTGAGTCAGGGAGGAATAGACAAGAGAAAAAAAAAAAAAGAGAGAGAGAGACAGATACCATAAAGGAGGGAGCCATTATAGTTTTGAAGAGAAAACTTACTCTAGAGAAAAGTCCAGAGACCTACAAGACTGACCCCAACTAACAATCTGAGCAACAGTGGAAAGGCTACCATAAATGTCCTTCCCTGATAATGAGATTGATGGCTAACTTATCCACCATCGTAGAGCCCTCATCTAGTAGCTGATGGAAACAGAAGCAGTCACCCACAGCTAAACACTGAGCTGAACTGAAATCCAGATGCAGAGAGGGAGGACAAGACCAGGTTACAGAAACCCACAGAGACAGCTGACCTGAACAAGGAGGAGCTAATGGGCCCCAGACTGATAGCTAGGAATCCAGCATTGGGCTGACTCAGACCCACTGAACATGAATCTCAGTTAAAAGACCTGGGCAGTCTAAGGGACCTCTGACAGTGGAACCAGGATGTATCCCTGGTACACAAAAGGACTTTGAGAACACATTTCCCATGGAGGGATGCTCTCTTAACCTAGAGGCAAAAGGGAGGGCCTAGACCCTACTCCAAATGACTTGACAGATTTAGATGACCCCTCCAGGAAGGCATCACCCTACATGTGGAGTTGGGGGGGGAGGATAGGATAAGAGGGTGGTGGAGGAGGCATGGGAGGTTGGAAGGGAGGGAGGGAGGGAGAAGGAACTGGGATTGGTATGTAAAATAAGAAAAATAAATAAATAAAAGAAAAAAGTACTAATTCATCAAGGGCGGGGGGGGGGGGGGGAAACAGCCAAGACAGCCAGAGACCAGAGACACATAGTGAGACCCTGTCTTTGAAAAAAGAAAACCATTAGCAATCAGCATTGCTGAAATGCTCAAGCTGTTCTGCTAACACCCCCCTCCCAATTGAAGATTTACCCCAGAAAGAGCTAGACATTGTAGTAGCAAAAACTTATTGCAGCACCAGGAAGGCAGAGGCAAGCAGGTCTCTCTGTATTCAAGGCCATCCTGGTTTACAAAAGAGTTTCAGGCCAGCCACAAGGAGACCCTTTGCCCATGGGGGCCCTGGCACACAGTGGTTGCAAATCAGCCTTTGCCTGTGTAGTCGTCCAAAAGGAAGTTGGAAACAATTCTGTAGCAGCTATTCATATCTCTGACCTGGAAGCTATCCCTAATCTAGACTATAGGCAGGTATGTAGGGTGCCTCTGGGAAGCCCCAGGGCTCAGTGGACAAGGTTAATTTAGGCCAGGTCATTCTGTCTATCTAACCCAAACTGCCAGATAAGGGACATGTGATTGAGACCTTATCTGGAGCCAAGTTCTAGTTCCTGGCCTCCGGATGATCCACATCTCAGAGCAGAGGACCCCCACCAAATGGAATGCAGGTGAATTTGAAGATATGGTCCCTGAGAATCAGCTCATTCCTGTGGGGTCAAATATTTCCGCAGTTGTGGTCCCCTGGGCAAGTGGTAGGCCTGCATTCCTGAGGACATCCACTGTGTTCTCCTGTTCTCATCCACTGTTCTCTCATGTGCAGTAATAAATCTCACTAGTTAAGGAGCAAAGTGTGTGTGTGTGTGTGTGTGTGTGTGTGTGTGTGTGTGTGTGTGTGTGTGTGTGTGGTGGGTTTTTGCTCCACTCCACATACCATCCTGAATTCCTGTGTTCAGTCTATCATCTCTTGTTTCAACCACCCAAGAAGCTGGGAAGCCAGGTGTGTGCCTCTGTGTCTGGCCAAAGGTTTTATTTTAGTGCTAGTGAATTCAGACAGCTAACACAGCCAGGTGTACTTTAAGGCCAGCAACTGGCAAAGGGAAAGCTGGAGGACCAGGCCTGGGCTATAGGTCTGGACCTTTCTCCAAAAACAAGGGAACACATAAAGTAGAACGGGTCTGTAAGCATGCTTCTAGAGAGACCACATAAGGCTTCTGATTTGCTGTATTCCGAGGAAAAAGAGAAGAGAGTTTTCCTTTTATCTCCATCCTCCTGACTTCCATAATTCACAGTTCTCAATGCTTCTTGCATGTTGCCTCCTTTTAGCAATACTTGTTTATTCTTTCTAGCTGTGGTGGATTTTTGTTTGTTTGTTTTATTGCTTTTTAAAATTTTTTTTGTGGTAGGGGAATTTGAGCCAAGGTTTCTCTGCATAGCTTTAGAGCCAGACCTGGAACTTTAAATCAGGCTGGCCTCTAACTCACAGAGATCCACCTGCTCTGCCTCCCTAGTGCTGGGATCAAAGGCATGTGCCACCAACACCCAGCTCCTAGTTCCTATTCTTACAGAGGAGAATTCATTCCAATTTTTAAATTTTTTTTATGTTTATGAATGCTTTGTCTGTATGTGTATATTGAGGTTACTTACAAGAATATGAGTGAGGGGTTATTTACAGGAGCCCCTTACCATTTGTGTGCCTAGTGCTGGTGGTAGAAGCCAGTAGGGGGCACCAGACCCCCTAGAACTGGAGTTCTGGGACTCACCCAGGTCCTCTGTGAGAGCCTCCAGTGCTCTTTCCACTGGGCCATCTCTAGCGTCTCCTTCCAATTTTACAGTAATTTATTTAACACTACTATGAGCAAGGTGTTTACTGTTGACTCTTGAAATACAATAGTGAATAAAAACCCTTGGCCCAGCAGTGGTGGTACATGCCTTTGATCCCAGCACTCTTGAGGTAGAAGCAGGCATATCTCTATGAGTTCAAGACCAGCCTGGTCTAAAGGGCGAGTATCAGGATAGACTCCAAAGCATCACAGAGAAACCCTGTCTCAAAAACAAAAACAAAACAAAACAAAAAACCCTTGGCCCAGCATAGAGTTCCAGGACAGCCAGGGCTACACAGAGAAACCCTGCTCCATAAAAGAAAAAAAGGGAGAGAGGGAGGGAGGGAGGAAGAAAGGAAGGAAAGAAAGAAGGAAGAGTCAGCTTGATGGTTGTTATGTAACAGCAAGTGATTAAAACTTTCCATCTTGTACAGAACTCTTTAAGCAAAGAACCAAACAACAAAAAATACCTTCAAGAACTCCCTGGAACTGGACAGATTTCCTAGGCCCCTTCCTGCTAGAGGCTGCGGGTATGCTCCAGGGTCCCAGCTTTTGTGAGCTGTCTGCATTGCTGGGGTGGACCTTGTGCAGCTGTCTTTGAGTCATTTTTGCACCAGTAAGTAGTCCCTTACCCATATTCCTGTAAGTAATCCCAGTAAAACTCATTGGTTCTCCAAGCTGGACTTAGATGGTACCTGTACTATAGACTGTCATGGGAACCCTATCTGGGGTGAGTAGATGAGTGTGTTTCTTCTCCCAGGAAAAATTTGGTCACCCAACAATGACACACACCTTTAATCCCAGCACCTGGGAGGCAGAGGCAGGTGAATCATTGTGAATTCAGGACAGCTTGATGTACAGAGCTAGTACCAGCTAATCCAGGGCTGTCAAAAAAGAAAGAAAAGGAGGTTTTGTTTGTTTGTTTTGGTTTGGTTTTTGAGACATGGTTTCCCTGTGTAGCTTTAGAGCCTGTCCTGGAACTCTCTATAGACCAGGCTGGCCTCGAGCTCACAGAGATCCTCCTGCCTCTGCCTCCCAAGCACTGGGAGTAAAGGCACATGCCACCACCGCCTGGCCAGAGACTTTTTTTTAGTGGTAGCAGTAGCTCCAGGGCCAGTATTTC